CCCGGCAGAGCCAGCGGCCCCAGGAGACTGAGGTGGGCGGGAGGGCGGTCCTCTGGGCTGGGGGACCTGCGGAGGGGGCGGCACTGCCCCCAATGTGAGTCTCCTTCCCAGGCTACGAATACTCGGACCAGAAGTCGGGAAAGTCAAAGGGGTGAGTACCCCCCTCCCAGCCCTCCTGGGGACCAGGACCCCCTCCACCCCACCCAGCTGTAACCTCCTCCCACTCTCGCCCTCCAGGAAGGATGTGAATTTGGCGGAGTTCGCTGTGGCTGCAGGGGACCAGATACTTGACAGGAGTGAGGACATCCAGCTAGGTGAGGCGGGGCTGGGACACCAAGGCCCTGGCGCGGCTCCCAGGCCTGGGCTGGGAAGTGCATCCTGGGAGAGGGTACCTCAGCCTGCTCTCCTCCCACAGATTACAAAAACAACATCTTGAAAGAGAGGGCGGAGCTGGCCCACAGCCCCCTCCCTGCCAAGTACATCGACCTAGACAAAGGTGAGTGGGCTACCCCAGCCCATCTCAGAGCCCTGCCCATCCCCATTCCACCTCATCCGGGACCCCCAAGGGCAGACACCAGTCAGGCCCAGGGCCCCTGCCACCTCAGGCTCCGAAGTCCCTGGGGAGTCCTGCTGGGGGTCTGCCCTGCGTCTCCCACTGTGATGAGGGTGGAGAACAGACGCCGACCCGTTGGCGCCCTTGGCTTCCAGGGTTCCGGAAGGAGTACTGCAAATAGGGGGACCCTGGGCTCCTGGCTGGGCCAGCAGCTGCATCTTTCCTGTCTGTGCCCCTCGGGGCATCTCCTGGTGCTCCCGGGCTCACCCCCTTCCAGCGGCTGGTCCCGCTTTCCTGGAATTTGGTCTGGGCATATGCAGAAGTGGCAGCACAGCCCCCACCCCTTCGGCCTTTGCTCATGGGTGGCCCTGCTCAGCCCAGACACAACCAAAATCCCACTGATGCCCAGCATGCCCTCAGACCCTCCTGGGCTCTGCCCACTGGGGGCTGGAAGACATTCCTGGAAGACACTCCCATCAGAACCTGGCAGCCCCAAAACTGGGGTCAGCCTCAGGGCAGGAGTCCCACTCCTCCTGGGGTGCTGCCCGCCGTCGAGAGCTCCTGAGGGCTCCTCCGCCTGTACCATGCAGGACTCCAGGCACCATCTGTTCTCCCCAGGGACCTGGTGACTTGGTGAATGCCAGCCCTTGCCCCTCTCTGCTGCTTTGGGCCACCTGGGGCTGCACCCCCCGCCGTTTCTCTGCTTCCACCCCTACCCTAGCCTTGCTCTCAGCCACCTTGACAGTCACTGGGCTCCCTGTGACTTCTGACCCTGACACCCCTCCCTTGGACTCTGCCTAGGCTAGAGTCTAGGGCTGGGGCCACATTTGGCTTCTGTACTGGCTGAGAACAGGGGAGGGGGTGAAGGTGGCTTGGGGTGGCCTATGTTGCCACTCTCAGCACCCCACATTTGCACCTGCTGGTGGACCTGCCACCATCACAATAAAAGCCCCGTCTGATTTTTAGACTTGGCCCAGGTATGCTTCTGAAACTCTGTCTCCTAGGGGTGGGCAAGGCACGAGTCTGGGCCTGGGAATCCCCACGTCATCTTCATCTCCACCTGAAGCCCCTGACATCATCCCATTCCTTGGGCTGAAAGGTCTGGGTCTGGATCCTCTGGGAGTTGGTGTCCTGGGAAGGGGTCATTTGAGTTAGTTCTGTGTGGCATGCTTCTGGTCGTGGAGGAGTTCATATTCCCTTGACGGCTGACCTGGATGTGGGGAAGGGGGACGTGACGGTGGCTGAGGACAGAGAGGAGACCGTGGGAGCACAGCTCTCGGAGAGGCAGACGGATGGCGAGCGGAAGTAGCGGGATACGGGTCAGACACTTGCAAAGGGGGCAGGAGCAAGGAGGCTCCGGCAGAGACAGCCCGGAGCAGCAGGGTGGCTCCAAGAGAGTCCTCGCCAGGCCAGCACGGATCTGGCCCTAGAATCCTTTCCCACTCAGGCATCAGTGCCGGGCACAGGATCTCAGCACAAGTTTGGGTGGTGGGACGAGTGGCGGGATCAGGAAGGCCAGTGGCCTGGGCTCCTGGCAGCACAGACCAGCGACTAAGTGCTGCTTCTTGAAGCCGGCATCACCACCCAACCCCATCCTCCTGTCCTCCCAGGAGTGGGGGTGGGAAAGGGTGATGGTTGCCCACAAGGATCCCACAGCAGCACAGGTTGGGAGGAAGGGAGGCTGGTCTGGGGAGGTGTGGCTTGAAAATGCACCCCCTTCTGGCCTCCGGCCTCACCATCACTGGACAAGGCTGCTCCTGGCAGGGCCCCAACCAGACCACATAGGCATCAGCCAGCACCTGGACTGGACTCAGGCCTCTGGCTTCCAGCCTCCCTTGAGACTTGGGCTGGGGTCAGGCCCCTGCACCTGTGTGGTTCCTCCCCTGCTCTGTGGCCACCTGTGTCTAGCCTGGGGAACATGGGTCTGGCCCTCAGGGCAGGTACGGGCTTCCTCCCTCCCTGGGGCCTCAACAGATAGCCCCTCGGGGGTCTTCCTGCCTGGCTTCCGACCTCTGGGGAAAACAAGGGCTGGTGGGAAGGTGGCCCAGGCTCCAGGCAGAGGGGGCTGCTGGCTGAGCTGGCCGGGCTTGGCTGAGCGGACGCCACAGCTGTCCCACTCAGAGCCGGGGTGCAGGTTCAGGACCCCAGGCCCAAGCCGACCGTCAACCACCGGCGCCTACACTGATGGGTTTCTCTCTGAGCCGGCGCGGGCATCGTCAGGGCCGGAGAGATGCGAAAGTCCCAGACTCCTGCCGGCTTCCTGGGGACGGGGCCCAAGGGGCCCCACCGCGCCAGCCCCGTCCAGGCCCCCGCCTCACTCT